TCACACTGCTGGTGGTTTCTCTTCCTGTGCAGAAGCTTTTTACTAAGAAGAGATCCCGCTTGTTGATTGTTTGTGCTAGTTCACGGGCAACTGAGGTTTTGTTCATAAAATCTGCCTATACCATTGTCTTCAAGAGTTCTACCTAACCTCTGTTCCAGCCCATTCAGTGTTTCTGTTTTAATGTTTATATCTTTAATCCATTTCAATTTTGGTTTAGTGCAGGCAAAGAGATATAGGTCTGGTTTTAATCTTTGGACCACCTTTGACTCACCATTAGAGCCCAGGTATCTGAAGAAGCAGGGGCAAGACGCAAGAGCAGACAGTGGTAAATGCTGTGTAGGCCAACAATGGAGGTAGCCCCACCTGACCCCTGTTCTGTCCCTCTCTGCCTACTTCCGTTAGAAGATGGATGAGGTGGCAAGGAGTAGCAATCTGAGAACGTTGGTGGCAGTCAGTTTTGGATGTACTGAATGACAGTTGTAGGCTGTGCCTTATGGGGCATAGTAATTTAAGATGTGCCTTCCATAAACAATGGAGAGTCCATTTTAAGTTTGGGTATTTATGGGGGAAACTGGTGCCATACCTTTTATTATTATTTTTTAATTGGGCCCAAAGAGTGAGACTTCTGTTCAAAATCTGGACCTTCAGAGGAGTTTGAGAATCTCAGCTGTATGTTGAAGTTCCAGAGAAACTGGCCTGGATAATTTTGAAATTCAATTTCCATTTATTTTCTGTTTCTTCACAGGCCCATGTGGTTCAGTCTCCTATCTTTATACTCTTTTTTTTTTCTCTCTCTCTCTACCTCCCAAGGCTGGAAGACTAATTCATCTGCGGCATGGAAGCATTTTCTTTCCTTAATAATTGGAGAGTAATATCGGAAAGATGGACATATTCTAGAACTTAGTTAAATCGTAAAATACTGGCATAGTTGGAATAAACTAGTTTTCAAGGCCTACTTTATGAAGGTGTTTGTGTCTGTGAGCTCCGTTAATTCCGAAGTTTATACTGGAATGGAGTTGGGTTTGACAAAATATTATGGCCATTTTTGAATAAAAGGAGAGGCCAATTGTGAAAAGTTCACATAAAAAGTAATTT